GATTAATGATGACGATTGCCCGCATTTGTTTTTATTTCCTTCTTCCTTCTGTCTCCTTCCACACCCGATTCTTGAGGCGGATTGCCATCACCTCTTCTCCCGGGCTTCCCCTGAGCACCCCCCTCATTGTCCACGGCACCATCCCCTATTCTCTTTGGCTCCCACCTCTTGCTCTCCCAGGCCCCCAATGAACGCCCGTCCTCCTCCTTTTTAAATCAACCAGGCCATTCACGAGATTCCCTTGCCCTTTCACTGAATAACAACTATTACTGAATAACAAGAAATGTTTAACAATTGTCGATAGTTTCCTATCGAGTGGTGAAAGAAATCCATTTGTTGGGAATGCTCTTGACAGTTTACATACATCATCACTTACCGCAGGCGTTGGTGTTAATGGGCAGGTTACCGTCTATCACAGGTAGTTTCACAGGATAAACTCCTTTATCCCCAACCTGGCCCCCAGCGAGGAGCTTCACCTGCAAATAGAAACAACAATTGTTAGATTCTTTACATTTACCAAATTAACCTCTCTTGCCCCAAAGTGTGTGATTCAGTCGTGATATTGTGAGGAGAAATTAGACGCTAGTCACTCTTAGATCAAAGGGCTAGGATGAAAGTTGCAGAACTTAGACTGGGAATAAATTGTCTCTTTTCAGTCACCATGATATCGTCAATCGAGTACTGACCGTAAGTTTCAGTTCATCACCGTTTGGAGTGAGAGAGACTTGAACGTACACACCAGCGGAAATTGGGAGAACTGGTATCGACACAGTGAATCCTGGGACTTTTATGATGTCGTCACTGGTGTAAGTATGAGACCAGGAGATACCCAGATCAGGTACATCCATTGAGGCTGTTACACTGATTGGGTCATCGCACTTGTTGACCTAATGGGCAGTAAAATAAGTTAATTTTGCGCTTTTTCGTGATTTTCAGATCAAAGCTGGTCGATGGGGGCCGTTAGAGAAAGAAAGTTGTCAGTCGCTTCCCTTGAAGTTATAGAAAGACGCTTGTTAAATTTGAACTTCATATTGGTGTGGTTCACCAACGAGTTCTCTGTTGCTTAACCATTTACACCCTAAAATCAGTATGCACACTCTCCTTACTGAGCCCTATATATTTTCTAGGGAGCTGAAAGGGGAATTTGTTTAATAATCAAGAGCTGCTTAAGTCGGTGATCATCTTTTTTATTCTCATGACCTTAATGTGTGATTCAGGGGTGATATTGTGAGGAGAAATTATATACTTGTCACTATTAAGGGTTAAAGCAGAGCATCAAAGAGCCAATTTGTCGTGTCTGAGGTTCGATTTCTCACCGTGAATTCAGCTTTTTTTCGTGCTTTTTCATTTATCTGACTTTCACCCTGATAAATTACGAATTGTCTCAATCTGTTTCACATGGTTTATGCCGTTTTCCCTTTTTTTTGTAACGGCACGCATTACTTTTCCTGTTAGAGTTTGGCTTACATCAATTCCCTTCGGAATACTCCCGCGAGAGGGACTGGGATGAAAACAGGATCTCAACTTATCAACTTAAAAAAACAGATAAGCAAGTGGAAAAAAACAAACAAACAAACACGAATTGTTTGTCGTATATTAAATTGCTAATTTAACTTTCCAATAAAGAATTACTTAACAGCAGAAATTCTAGATCTTTTTAATGACGTTTCGTTTGTGAGGGAAGCGCAAACTTACCTTTAACTTCAGTGTGATCGGCTTTTCGACGAAATTTGTTTTGCACGTGATTGTGCTGCAATCATCACTCATGCTGCAACCATCATCAAGTGTGGAGGTGCCACAGGAATCGCTACCCTGAATGGTTTGGTCATCCCAATCACTGTCGCTGTCCTGATCTGAGAAGTCAGCTAAAAATAATAATATTTCTATTAAGCAAAACTCCTTTCTGAAGCTGTATAAGACTATAATTTTACCAATTGTCTCAAAAAGGTAATCAGTTATCATTCCCTTTCTAACTCTTACTGTAAACCAACCGCTAGATCTCTTTTTGTTTCGTTATTAACCTTTTTTAATTCGCTAACCCATGCCAACCTACTCACAAACTAACTCTTCCGTCTATTCTAAATCAAAATACGTATGACGGAGACTGGGCCTGAATGTAGTCGAGTTTTGATTGACACTGCACATAAGTGTGTTTTTCTTAGGAGTTAAAAACAGTTGTGTTTACAGAAAGAAAACTTGTGATTGTGACTCCGGGATACCTATAACATTATTACAAAGGTCTTCAGGAATATACTAAAATTCAGTTTTCTAAAAATCAGATTTTTTCCCGTCGCATTTTTGTCAAGAAACATATTACAGATGACATACAGATTTTATCATTGCAACTGCAGCGATTTCTTCGATGTGCAAGGTCTTCTGAGGTAAAATTAAATTTATTCAGAGTTTAAATCATCAGACAGGGAATGACAATTAACAAACAATGAAAAATTCATGATACATTAGGTATTTTATGATCGCTTATCTTTTACGATGCAGTCCGGGCAGGCAACATCAATTCATTGATACGACCGACTAGAGGGTTTGTGCAAAAAAATTTTCGCTAACGCTAATACATCCTGGTACTAAGCGCTGCAAACAAACTAGCGCGACTGATATGCAAAAGAATGAAATGTTCCGATGTGATCAAGATGATTTGAAAAAGCTTTGAAATAAGTGGTTGTTTTACTATTCCGCCAAGCACTTTTTCAAAACAATCGGTTTACGAAGACCAGTATTCGAGTTCAACGGATGTAATCTCTAGTTTGTTCTAGGTCACAAGGAAACTGAGACGGTCGCACCAATTAACTTTTGAATGACATTATATAAGGTTTCTACTCCTAATATCGACAAAACATTAGTGATTTGCGGTCCTCAATAAATTCGCTTGATTGAGGTGTCGCAATATAGTGCTGAATTCCAATGAATGGTCACAGTGGTGGGTAGAAAAGTTAGATTAAGTCCACTGACGTCGATCTATTTCCTTTCAAATCTTTCTCATTTTATTTATCTTACCTCTGTAGGGTTTCATGTATAATGCAGGTACTTAAAAATTTGGCGATAAAATTAATTTTGCTTTTCATTTCTCAAAACTTCTTTGTCGCGCAATATGGATCTGGAAAAGACCGTTCTTTCTAGACCGTGTTCAACGACGATTAGGTCGGCGAACCCTGATCGGCAACGTGCATAATTAATAGTCTCGCTCTGTTCTTTTCTAATCCCGCTCTAGTTTTCTAACGAGTCACTCGAACGATTAAAAATGAAGTTTACTCTATACAGAGAATAGTTTGGACGGCCATTCCTTTATTTGGGGATAACAGTTTTGAGGAATACATTCTATCAAGAAGCATGCATGTATGCCGTCAGACCGATATGACGCATCAATTCCGAGAATTCGAACACTCTTGAAATTCTTCGAATTCGTTAGGAGTTTGCGGAATTGTGTCAATTATCCTCGATTGAATTCGAAATATATACAAGTTGACCCTCTGCTTTGAAGGTTTCTACGTTAAATAGGATGAAAATTATGTGTTTTCATGCGCAAACGTTTCTCGATAAGTTAAAAAAAATACTGGTCAATAAATAATAATGGCTGACCCGACCACAGATGTTTCGCCCCTAACACAGGACTTTGAACTGACGTTAAGTTTTGCGTTAGGAATAATTTCCCTGTTTTCATTTGGTCTTCTATCAAATTAAGACTCTACATACGTAACTGTAACCAGCTATAGACCTTCTTATTTATAAGACTTCAACTTTCGAAAAGATTCAGCGTTGGCGTTTCCACGAAATGTGCTGTTATTAAAATACATAATAACACTAATCTCGTGGCTTTTCCCACCTTATTCGACTTGTTTGGCCCCCTCGCTACTTACACAATTTCATTCAAATTTTCCTCCAAATTGAGAATCAATCACTTTTTATCATTGAAGAAGAGAAAATATATCAGAGCTTCCACAGTAAACATATAAACGACCAAAAAAAAGATCACATTAAACATTGAATAATTACCTGCAGTTGTGAAAATCAGCTGACTGAAAAGAAGAATAAGAAAACCTTTGGTCAGAATAGTTCCAGACGCAATCATTTTGAACGACGAAGAGATAGAAAGCCTCAATGTTTCTAAATGGCGTGTCTTTTCGGTACCCACGCTTCGGCTTAGCGACAGTTTGATTGACAGCAATTCTGGTATTTTCCAGTATGACCGGTTTTTCATTGCTCGTAGAAGCGAGGCTGTGTTTCTCGGAATTTGGGAATACAAAGGCATCGTGCCAAGATCGACTTCTGCCTGATTGTGGGAGAACTGTATACTTCCATAACCCGCGCGATAATGTCGCTCACAATCGGATACGGGCTGTAGATTACTCTCACAGAAAAAGACAGTAGGTAATGTTTCAAACACATTTATTTTCCTTGGCTCCAATTTAAAAAATTTCCAAAAGTAAAATTGTTCTTCTAATTCGTCGAATTTCACAGCATTTTCCTCGACAAAAACCCAATAGCTACCTACGCATAAAAAATTTCCTCTTCAGTCGAAGAAGCCGGCCGGATGAAAAGAAGAACGAGAAAAATTTGGGCCAAAACAGTTCCATGTGCAACCGTTTTGTACAGAGAAGAATTTAGCAAATGTAACAATTCGATATACAGTGTTCGTCCACCTTTAAATTGTATTATTAAAAGTAACTTCAGAATTTTCATTCGACTTGTTTCAGTGGTCAGTGTTCCCGGAAGCTTAATCCCTTTTCTCGGAATTGTGTCGTAATGCAAAGCCTTACTTCCGGTTATGATAATACTATGGCAGCATCCTCGTTCCCAAGGTCCTTTCTCCTCCTCAAGAGAGGAACCTGGGAACCAGGTTGCTATGGCAGTTACTCCTTTTCCAGTTCATTAACATCAGCTATAAATGGTTATCTACCGAAAAGACCACTCATTATTTATTGCCCGGGGGGAGGGGTGTAGAAGGATTTTGGGGAATCACATGATTTTCGGGGGGAGTGGAGTGGGAATCAGTTGTCTCAAGAGATTTTAGTCTCTTGGTTGTCTCTGACAGAATTTAAAGGAGGACTATTAAGAATTGACTTCCAATGAGGGAAGATCATTAGAAGACCACAAAGCCTTATGGGCCTATGGGGGATTGGGTAAATTTTATTGTGAACCGAAATCCACCTTGCCCTACTCCCCTGACGATAAATAATGAATGATCAGTTTCTAATTATCGTCCAACTCGCAGCAGAATTCCGCTGGTGATTCCCGCAGAAAAGAGGAAAAAAAATCCAACAACAGTCGTAAATCAAGACAGCGGTTCACCATTGATTGATAATCATTTTAATCAAACTACGCTATTACTCCTCAAACTGAACTTTTGATACCGGAACCGACCTTAAACCGTTTGAGTGAGTCAGAGGAAAGATATCAGAAGAAGTCGTTCCAGGAATAACTTAAGCAGAGGACCGAGACTATAAGATTTATTTATTGTTAGTTTTCATGCCTTCAACAAACTACACACAATGGTTCTTTCGCCGGATAGGCATCAACTGCTGATGTCACAACTGTAGCCTCACCGGCAGCGGCAGCGGCAGCTGCAACAGTTGGATCGCTTGCAGCAGCAACAGCAGCTGATTGAAATAATAAACAAAATGACGAAGAGGGGGCCACCAATTACCGCCCCTTTTTCAGTTTCGGTCAGCTTATGCCACCATTCGAAGTTTCCTGCGACAAAAACCGAGACACAGTGAGAGACCGTTTGAGGCAGACTCGTTTCCACTTTCTTTCTTTCTTTTCTTTTTTTTCCTGTCATTATAAAGTTTTCTGAGCCGTTATTTCGTCAAATTCTCCTATTTAAAGAACCAGTCATTTTCTATCGCCCGGGAAGGGGGGGGGAAGGGAACAAGTGCAGGATTCTGGGAGATTACGTGGTTTTCAGGGAGGAACGGAGAGGATATCAGTCGTCATAAACAGAGTATGAAGGGGGAACTTTAGAAAATTGACCACCCGTTAACTGCCAATGGAGTGGGGAGGTCAGAAAAATGTTCAGTACGGAGCCTTACGAGTTAAATGTTATGGTGACACAAGTAAAATCCTCCGAGCCCTAACCCCCCGGATAATATATAATTACTGATTCCTCACAGTGATGAGGTTACGGATTTCTCATGGTGTTTTCCCCTTGATGGTCGATTTTCTGAATTTTTTTTAATGGCAAATGGATTTCTTTCGACGGAGTTAACCACAAAGAGTAAAAAGTGTCTCCAATATCAATAATCTTGACTATCTACCCAGTTAACACCGAATTATCCATAATACATTCCGTCAAGGTCATGAAGGCTATAAATATGGAATATTCTGATCCAGTCATCGGTGGCCCCGTGTGAAACTTTCATAGGAGAAAAGCAAAGTCGATTACCACTGAGAGTAAAATTTAACTCGCAAATTCAGTGGCTCTGAATTTTCAAATGTGTAGTAAATTGTTTTAATATTTCAAGGTAGGTTCTTAAAATGTGGGATAACTTCATATAAAACATAAAAAACCTTGGTATGGTTTTTCCCAGGAATAGATTGTGGCGGGGCTTCTGAAGGAGTTATAACAACTTACCTCGTTCGTCTGACTTTAACAGAAAGTTTCCCTCTATAACGGTCATTTCGGTAGGATGAAGATCTTGACCAGAGGTCTTACCCCTGGCTAATAGCTTTACCTATTGAAGGTAAAAACTACAAAGTCAGCGGCTCTAAGAGATAAGAATAGTGTTACTTCTGGCGGTAACACGTGTTGGACAGTCGCACAGTGTGAGAATATTGCACGAAACTTATTCTCAGTTTACACCCGCTCTATTTATGATCAATAAATGACGAAACTCGACTCGGTAGAATTGAGTTTCTGGGAGAGGATTCGGCCTTAGCAAAATAGTGAACTTACCCAGGTTAAGATTTCTGTAACTTTTGGGATCGAAAGAAAACTATCTAGATATTTTTTATTCTCAACTTCCTGTAAAACTGGGGCGGGTATAAATATAAGTAAAGCATAAGTTGTCAGTAATTAAAATTTAACTTAATTTGAAGGGTTCATCATAAGCGAAATATGCTTCTCTGATTGGCTACACTCTATTACCGTTCATGATGACCCATCAACAAGCACTTACATTTAAACGAAGGTCATCGCTCTTTTGAGTGAGTTGCACTTGAACATACACACCCGATGAGTTACGACCGGAGACTTCCTGGGTGTCGCTGAAGGAGAAAGTATGTGACCATGAGATTTGCAGATCAGGTACGTCCATTGAGGCTGTTATACTGACTGGGTCATCGTACTTATTGACCTAACGGGTGATAAGATCATGTTTAGTTTATTTATAAAGGAGGAAAGACTATTAATTAATCATTGCCTTAGTTCTTGTTGTTCTTCCTCTGTCGTGTCAGGAACTCATTCCCTGATCGTGTGTATTTTTTGTTTGTAGTTATTTTAGTCACTTCGTAGACTGATCATCTGATTTTTACCACAATTGGCAGTAATGTTGCAATCTTATTGGCCAATTTGCCGTCAGTGTCGATATGAAGACAGACAACGCCGCACGCGTCAGCGTGCCGCGCAATACCTTTCTCAACTCTCAAATATGGTCACGCACTAAAATAATTTTTTATTTGACATCGATATTGTGGTAAAAAACAAATTAACAATGCATGGTTTAGCATGATCAATACTCTTGTCGACAATGATGTTCGTCATCGCAGTGGTAAAAATTGTTACAACATTTTGACCACTTTAATTACGAACATCGTCAAGATAAGAGTAAAGACCACGCAGAACACTGTCGATTTGTTAAATCGAGCACCTGTTTATGGGTATAAACGGCTTGTATTGAGTATAAACAGGTGCGTGAGAAGTCTCAATTAAGTGCCACTGGCCAGTTTCTGCAGAGAATGAATTCAAAACAAAGCAAAGACGAAAATCACAAATCTAAAGCAGGCAGTCACCTTCAAATCCATTGTTATCGGATGATCGACAAACGTCATGTTGCACGTGATTGTACCACGATCTTCGCTGATGCTGCATCCATTATGGAGTGTAATGCCGAGATCACTATTTAAGATCACCTTCGCTTTGTCGTAAACATTAAAACAAAAATGTCAATAACTAAAAATCGCTAATATGTAGTATTAATATTGCCAAAGAGATTTTCCCTTAAACGAACGGAAACTATTTGTACGGTCTTCATTTTTTCAGATTGTTTCGTCGGGTTGTTGGAATGGAAGGAAATACTACGACGTAGTGATGTGGAAAAGAGTATGGAAGATTTTTGATGATCGGTGTTCAAGCCTATATCAGGATGTAGGTTATGGGTCACTTCGTCCACGCATTTCCCATTACGCTGGAACCCACCCTCACCCCCCACGTAAAAAAATGTAGGATTTCATATCTTCAACATTTTCTTTCTTCAAGATAACATCAAACATTGAATTGAGGTAAACTCCCAAGGTCACATGGTAGCGAACGGAAAACCACTGCCACGTAAAAGAAATTTAAAAAAGGAAATATAAAGAATTCTACAGGATAAAACTTAGACAAACGGGTACCGATCTTCTAAACTAAACTAGTGAGACAAAAATGGAAACTTGTATGTAAGAATATTTAACAGAATAATGTGGGCTACTTAGGTAAGCACAGAACAGGTTTGCGTAAGAACGTACGTGACAACCATATTTTCTGTGATTGACGAGTTGCGCATAATTCATGAGGTACTTCTCTTCTGAGAAAATGCCATAACGCGAAACCCTTTTTCGGCAAAAACTTTGGTAAGACTTCAGGAAATTTTCTGAAAAAATCGCTCGGCTCATAGCCGATTAACTACGGTGAATCTTACTGAACCAACTAACAAACGCTTTAAAAATACTTTTATTTCTGCTGTTGTTACTCTTATAGAGACGAAGATCTAATGTGGCATGCGGTCATATCTCAGTTCTATGCCGCATCCGGATTCCGAGAATCTGGTGAAGGTCAAGTCTCGTAATTCTTAGAATGCGGGTAAAGCATACAGAAAACTGAAATTATTCCACTTGACGAAAATACAGAAATAGTGATAGTAATTGGTGAAAGTGAATGTTATTTTATTCGCCTGCTTTGTTCACAAAATACTGACAATTATATTAGCATGACAATATGTTTCGGAAAGATTGAAGATCTATCTCAGCGGAGTATTCAAAGTGAAAATTAACTTTCGCTTAGAAGGTATTGGTATAAAACTCGCAGCTTATCTTCGACTGCAGTTAAAGAATAGCGACTCGACTCGGAAACAGATAAGCTCTTTAGTTTTCTGGTAGATTAAAGAACCGACTGTTTCCAGTCGAAGACGTAAACAACAGACGTAGTTTTGAGCGGCTAAAGATTGGTCAACAAATCAAACACCTACCTGCAGTTGAGGAAATGAGCTGGCTAAAAAGAGCAACGAGAAAAATGTTGACAAGAACGTTTCTAAGCACAGTCATTTTATACCATGAAGAATTCAGCAAACGTAGAGCTTCGGTGTAAAGTGTTTGTCCAATTTGCCGTGACAGTTACTCAGGCTTTGGTCAGACGGGCTTTGGTGAGACCAGTTGGTTTGGACGTTGTTTCTAGAAGCGGGGTTCCAGTCTCTGGGAATTGTTCGTGTTATGGCAACAACTGCGTTCCCAGGGTTCTCTCCTTTCCTCCGAGAGGACCCCGGGAACGAGGTTGCTTTGGCAGTTGCTCCTTTTGTAAAACTCAATAATATCTGCCATAAATTGTGATCAATGTAATCCTCTTTGACTGAACGAATGAATCGAGCGATGCGGACCGTTGAAAATGGCAACTTATATATAGGAATATTTAACAGAATGATGTGGACTACTCGGGTAATCACAGATCAAGTTTGCGTAACAACGTGTGTGACAGCCATATTTTCTGCCATCGATGAATTTAGCATAATTGACGAGGTACCCCAATTCTGAAAAAATGCTCTCGCACCTTGAGAAGTGAACATTGAGCTTGAAGTGAAAGACTGGTGACTAACCCAGAAACGGAAACAATAGACGAGAAATTTTCATAAAAACAAAAAAAGTATTTTACTTTGCTTAAATCACTTTTCAGGTTTCAAAAGAACATAGGGTTTTTCTAGCTCAGCAGTTGCGGTTAATAATCACGTGCAGGTGAAGACTGGGTACTAGGCTACCTCGACTCGGACAGCAGAAAACTAAATTGCGACGAGAAGTTCAGGTGTTTCCGCTTATTTAAGTTGTTATCTTTTGTGCTAAAAGCCGCAGAATCTCTTATTCATCTAATGTAGACACTAATCAAATCGCTGTGCCAGCCGTCTGGCCATTACTTTGATAAAACAAACATTTAAACACGTTGAATAATCGACTCAAAATCTGTGCACCATTGGTTGCATTGGAATAGTAACGTTGGTGGTCATTGAAGTTGTTGCCATAACAGCAGGTGCCACCGCAGGGGCAGGTCGCACCACAACGGTATTTTGACCGGATGAACGACAGTTACAGCAATTACAGCAACAGCAACAACAACAGCTTGAGACCATCAAGATGATGATTATTACCCAGCCACCGATCACTAACGTCTTAGTGACGTCACTCAGCTCGTGCCACCAATCGAAGACACCTCGATTAAAATACAAACAATAATAAATAAACTAATTGGACTGCACTTTGGTCTGAAATCGTACACGATTTGAATCACAAATGTGATTTCAGAACATAATTCATGTCCAATTATTACTACATTACATCTATTTAATTGGAGATTGCAATTTTTTGTAAAAAAGAAGAGTTTTAATGGCAAAATTTACAAAATTCGCAATACAAAGGCTTCTTTGTTTTTTATTTTCCTGAAATTTGATTGGATACTTCAAACAGCCCTTGAAGTCTGATTGGTTGGTTTTAGTGATGCTTTCTCGTTGGCTGGGAAAAAGGTGGAATTAAGAGAACAAATTGGTGCGATTCCTGAATAAATCGCACTACTGAGAACGAATCAGACCGAAAGTACACCAGTGATTTCAAAATGGATATAATAAAGAAATTTTCATACTGATTTTGGCAACAGAGAAGAATGTATAAAATTCGAAACTATGAGCGTGGTCTAGAAAGTGTAATCGGATGAGTGTTGAGATTCAGAGTTAAGGACTTACCACATTCGTCTGTCTTAATCGGTAGACCCCCCTCCAACACTGTCGCTTTAATAGGATAAACTTCTTTACCGAAGATCTTTCCTCCAGCCAACAGTTTTACCTGTTGAAATATTGAAAAGTACACTTAGCTCTCTGCTTTATATCAGACACCCAGTGTCTCTCGGATAAAGAGATCCGCGAGAACGACGTCGAGAAGAGAGTTACGTTGGGTAGCCGCAAGGTGTGGACACACGGCGCAAATACTGCGCACGAGATCAGTGGACTTCTCAGGATATATAGCTAGGCTTTTGCCTCGAAGAGGTCCTTTTCATATTATTTTCATTTTGTTCTCTGTCTCATGCATTTCCTGGAAGCTCTAAACTAACAGATTTCACGTGGTAAAATTAGCTCAGGTGAGCATTTCCTCCCTTGCGATTGCGTTTTCTCGTAACATGTCTTATATGAGGTTAGAAAAACACTGACCGTTAAACGCAGTCTTTCGCCGTCCGGAGTGAGAGAGACTTGAAGGTACACACCGCCAGACAATAAAGAACCGGGTACCGACGCGGTGAATCCTGGGACTTCTACGGTATCGTCACTGGTGTAAGTATGAGACCAAGAGATACGTAGATCAGGTACATCTATTGAAGTTGTTACACTGACTGGGTCATCACAACTATTGACCTTGCGGGCAGGATAAAATATCAGATTTAATTCGGTGACAATGGGAAACTAGATAGATTTGGCACTCAAGTTTTATTTCAATCATTTTGGGGTTAATTTAAAGGTCTTTCAGATCACTCACAATATCTCTTTTTCTTTCAATGAGTAACAAAACTGATGAAGAAACTTGCAAAATCTATGAACACAAATACCTCCAACTTGTATGTTATTGGTTCGTCGACAAACTTCATTTTGCAGCTGACTGTG